CAGTGACAGTACTGATGGTTTTGTTTCAGGCTTAGGTGCTTTCTGGGTTGTTGTTTTCCATTCTGCAGCCATCAGCACCTCAGTTTTCTGTAAAGGAAGAAAAGACTTGACCCAAGGAGGGGGCTTATTAACTAAATCTCCCCAGACCATTATGTGTGATATTTGATCCAAGTGTCCCATACATGAAGAATAATTTTCTCAACCGTGTTAATGACAGCAGGATCAAAGGTCCCCTCTGAGGGCCATCCCACATTGAAAGTGGGCCATTCAGACCTGCAGAAAGTAATTAGTTTATCCTTCCTGACAACAACAGAGAGGTTATGGGCTTGAGTCTTAACCTCTCCAAAATGTGGAAGAACCAGATCCAGGGGTGTAGAGGGAGTCTGTCCCATTGCATCTATCTCAGTCACAGAAAATTGACAATCAAAGACAAAACAGAGAGCCAGAAAGACACACAGAAGGCCAAGTAACAAATTCCCCGACTCATGCGGAAGAAAAACTGAAAGTAGGATAGCGGCGAACTGCCGTGCCATGGGAGTGGCCAGCCTTGTCCTTTCACAGGAATCAACAGAGTCTGGGGCCCTCTGTCCCCTCTGCCAAGGTCTGGAACATCTTCCAGACCTCTGTGGTCATGGTCATCTAGCGCATCTGCTCCAACCACTCCTGACTACACTGTTCACAAGTTTGCCTCGAGGCTCAGAACAAAAGCTAGGACAGACACAGACCGGTACAACTAGAAACAAACAGACACCGGCCGGCCAAGAACCCTCCGGTTCGGGGATCCTGGGGGTTTTGGGGATCCCGGACGAGCCCCCAAGATGTTGTGCCCAGTTCGCGAGACCCCAAAGACCACCAAGGAGCCAACCAATGCAAACACACAGGGTTCTTTTATTGTTACAAGCTTAAGCTTGGGCCCACTCTGTCACCAACTCAGCAGATCTCAGATGTGAGTCCCCTTGCTTTGGGAGACAGAGGTTTTTATAGGTTTATTTCAGCAAGTTCAGCAAGTAGAGGAGTAGGGGGTCTTCAGACTGGCAAGCATCTGATTGGTTGCAGCTCAGTGCCAAACCATAAACTGCTGGCTTCAGGAAATCTGAAAAGATATCTGGACTTTTAGTACTTTCCTGTCCCTAGTTAATTGACTGTTGGTGGGGGTGTTGTTCTTTATCTGTTCCAAGTATTGTGGTTTTTCTTGGAACAGGGCCCAGGGCTGGGTCAGTCCTATGGAGGTTTTATCCAAGATGGAGTCACTCAGGTCTCTCAATGTAATTAAAGAACTACGGCTTCAAGGAACCTTTATGTCCTATACCCCAAACTTGATCCAGTCTTTCTCTCTGTGCCTGTATTTTCTTCTTTTGCCCCAAAGCAATGCTTTGTAATTCTTGGCTTCTATCTCTTAATTAACTAGTTGCCCTTCTTCTCCTAACAGGTCTGGTATGTACCACCTCTGAAGACTAGAGTGGCCCTCTTCATGGTCATCCTGGCTCTCATTTTTGGGCCTTATATATTAAAATTTTTTCTAGTCTGTTACAGCAAAGAATACAGGCCTGCACCTCCTCCACCCTGACCCAGTTATTCCTGACTGAGGAGTACCAGCCTCTCCCAGCCTAGGAGACAGACGAATCTGAGAAAGAATCCTTCAGCCCCAAACAAAAATCACCTGATGACAAACACCCCTAAAGAGCCCTTTTCTCCCAGGTGGATACCAGCTGGAAGTAACTAAGAAGTACAATGCCCTTCCTCCCACCCTACCCCTTGCCCTCTTTTTCTTTATGACCACAGGGTCTGGGATGATAGAATGTGTGAACTGCAGGAGAGCCATAGATTCATTAAAGGAAACCTTAAAGACATAAATTCCTTAAAGTGGCCAACTGGTCCTAAATTGGTGGCCTGGCCTTGCTCATCAAGCCTTATCAACTCATCACTCCCTGGGCTGAGAGAGACTACTTATGCAGCCAGCCTGTTTCCCTGTAGCCCCAGCTGGCCTGGAACTTGCTATGTAGACCAGGTTGGCTTTGAACTTATAGAGCTCCACCTGCCTCTGCCTCCCAATTGCTAGGGTTAAAGGCGTGAGTCACCACATCCAGACAGCCTGTCTCCTTTGGTGCCCTAAGATAGCTTGCCTGCCTGAGAAAATAATGGGAGAAAAACGCTCAAGGACTCTAGACCCTGGCACTGAGCAAATTCCTGCAGCTGCCTTCAATAGTTCCTATATAAGTATAAACCAATCCCACCTTTGATGCAGATGCCCTCATTCTGTGGGAGGGTCTTTTGGCCCTTTGCTATGTTTTTTTGAATAAAGGAACACATTCCTTGCCTGTGGCAGGCCTGGCTCTCTTATTTCTAAACTTTAAACTCCTTCCTTTTTCTGCTCTCCTAAATCTAACACCCAGAGTTCACCAGTTTGGCTAGTCTGGCTGCCTGGCTTGCCACAGGGATCTCTTGCCTCTGCCTCAAGAGTTTTGGCATTACAAGAGGCCACCATACCTACCTAGCTTTTGTCAGAGAGCTGGGATCTGAAGTTAGTCCTTGATAGGTAAAATTCAGGAGAAAAAAGCCATTCGGGAGGGCTCCAAGCAGAAATCAAAGCAGAGCTTTATTTCCAGAAGTCATCGGGAGCAGCCCTCATCAGGAAGGAGGAATCTGCTGCCCTTCAGGCTGCTGGCTGGAGGTTTTGATAGGTGGTTGGGAATGCAGAAGGTAGAAACAGCTTAAACAAGCCAAAGGGCTGGGGGCTGCAGTGGGAGGCAGGTTCTGTTGAAACTGCCCCTTACATTGACCAGGGTCTGGGTCATGGGATGAGGGGTCTCTTTTCCCTTCTAAAGTTATCAAAGGGGAAGTCGGTAGGGCTGAAACAGCTCTTGCTGAAATCGAGGCTTAGGTCATGGGTACGGGAAGTCTGTTCGTCCTGTCTATGGAATGTCAGGGTGCTCATTAACTTAGTTCCTGCATTTGGACAGCGGACTTTTCTTATTCCACTGTGAGGGGGCTGCAGCAGATCAGACCCTAACAGTCCTTACACTTGTACAGCAAGCTCTTTAACCACTGAGTTGTTTTTGTTGTTTTTTAGCTCTTAACCCTGCCTTCTCTCTGAATAGAGTGCATCTTAAATGCTTATTTCTGTCTCAGTAGTCCTCATGGTGATAGGTATGTGCAGTTCTGGCCTTCTGGTTACAAAATTGTCTATTTCATTTCTTTCTCTCTCTCTCTCTCTCTCTCTCTCTCTCTCTCTCTCTC